CTGGCGGCCAGAGCCAGGTGAGGAACCCCAAAAACACCCAAAACACACCCAAAAATACACCCAAAATACACCAGAAAATACACCCAAAACACACCAAAAATACACCAAAACCACACCCAAATACACCAAAACCACACCCAAAATACACCCAAAATACACCCCAAAATACACCCCAAAATACACCCCAAAAACACTCAAAATACACCCAAAATACACCAAAAATACACCAAAAATACACCCCAAATACACCCAAAATACACCTGAGATACACCTGGGGACATTGGGGACATCATTGGGGACACCAAAAACACACCTGGGGACACACCTGGTGGGTTTGGGGTCAATTTGGGTCATTTTTGGGTGATTTTGGGTCATTTTTGGGTGAATTTGGGTCATTTTTGGGTGATTTTGGGTCATTTTTGGGTGATTTTAATGCAGATTTTGGTGATTTTTGGGTCGATTTTGGCGGGGATTTTTGTGATTTTGGCAGGAATTTTGCCCAGGTGAGCTCAGGTGAATTTGGATCATTTTTGGGTGAATTTGGGTCATTTTTTTGGGTGATTTTAACGCAGATTTTGGTGACTTTTGGGTGGATTTTCATGGGGATTTTTGCCCAGGTGAGCTCAGGTGAATTTGGGTCATTTCTGGGTGGATTTGGGTCATTTTTGGGTGATTTTAACGCAGATTTTGGTGATTTTTGGGTCGATTTTCATGGGGATTTTTTCTCAGGTGTGCCCAGGTGAGCTCAGGTGAATTTGGGTCATTTTTGGGTGAATTCGGGTCATTTTTGGGTGATTTTCGTGGGGATTTTTGTGGGAATTTTGCTCAGGTGTGCCCAGGTGAGCTCAGGTGAATTTGGGTCATTTTTGGGTGAATTTGGATCGTTTTTGGGTGATTTTGGGTCATTTTTGGGTCATTTTAACGCAGATTTTGATCATTTTTCGGTGATTTTTGGGTCGATTTTCACGGGGATTTTTTCTCAGGTGTGCCCAGGTGAGCTCAGGTGAATTTGGGTCATTTTTGGGTGATTTTGAGTCATTTTTGGGTGATTTTGCGTCATTTTTGGGTGATTTTAACACAGATTTTGGCGATTTTTGGGTCCATTTTCATGGGGATTTTTGCTCAGGTGAGCTCAGGTGAATTTGGGTCATTTTTGGGTGAATTCGGGTCATTTTTGGGTGATTTTGGGTCATTTTTGGGTGATTTTGGGTCATTTTTGGGTCATTTTAACGCAGATTTTGATCATTTTTCGGTGATTTTTGGGTCGATTTTCACAGGGATTTTTGCTCAGGTGAGCTCAGGTGAGCTCAGGTGTGCCCAGGTGAGCTCACCTGTCCATTTTCACAGGGTGAAAGCCGCCCTGGCCGAGGAGTAGGACCCGGGATTGGGGATTGGGCTGAATTTGGGTGATTTTAACGCAGATTTTGATCATTTTTGGGTCATTTTTTGGCGGATTTTCGCGGGGATTTTTGTGATTTTGGCAGGAATTTTGCCCAGGTGAGCTCAGGTGTGTTTTTTCACAGGGTTAAAGCCGCCCTGGCCGAGGAGCAGGACCCGGGATTGGGGATTGGGGTAAATTTGGGTGATTTTAACGCAGATTTTGATCATTTTTCGGTGATTTTTGGGTCGATTTTCGCGGGGATTTTTGCTCAGGTGTGCCCAGGTGAGCTCAGGTGAATTTGGGTCATTTTTGGGTGAATTTGGGTCATTTTTGGGTCATTTTAACGCAGATTTTGGTCATTTTTGGGCGGATTTTGGTGGGGATTTTTGTGATTTTGGCAGAAATTTTTGTGATTTTTGGCGGGAATTTTGCTCAGGTGTGCCCAGGTGAGCCCAGGTGAGCTCACCTGTCCATTTTTACAGAGTTAAATCCGCCCTGGCGGAGGAGCAGGACCCCGAGCGGCGGCAGGTGCTGGACGGGCGGCAGCTCGCGCTCAAAGTCAGCGCCAACTCCGTGTACGGATTCACCGGGGCTCAGGCGGGAAAACTGCCCTGTTTGGAGATTTCACAGGTAAAAACACACCTGAGACATCCCAAAATATACCTGAGATACACCTGAGATATCCTAAATACACCTGAGATACACCTGAGATATCCCAAACACACCTGAGAGGGTCAGGGACACACCTGGGATACACCTGGGACACACCTGAGATATCCTAAATACACCTGGACACATCTGAGACACACCTGAGAGATCCTAAACCCACCTGGATACACCTGAGATACACCTGAGATATCCTAAATACACCCGAGATACACCTGAGACATCCCAAATACACCTGGGAGGGTCAGGGACACACCTGAGATATCCTGAACACACCTGAGAGATCCTAAACACACCTGAGACACACCTGAGATATCCTAAATACACCCAAACACTCGGATTCACCGGGGCTCAGGCGGGAAAACTGCCCTGTTTGGAGATTTCACAGGTAAAAACACACCTGAGACACACCTGGATACACCTGAGACACACCTGGGATATCCTAAATACACCCAAACACACCTGGGACACACCTGAGATATCCCAAACACACCTGGGAGGGTCAGGGACACACCTGAGATATCCAAAACACATCCAGACACACCTGAGATACACCTGGGATATCCTAAACACACCTGAGATATCCTAAACACACCTGGATACACCTGAGATATCCCAAATACACCTGAGAGGGTCAGGGACACACCTGGACTATCCTAAACACACCTGAGATATCCTAAACACACCTGGATACACCTGGGAGGGTCAGAGACACACCTGAGACACACCTGGGACACCCAAAATACACCTGGACACACCCAGGACACACCTGGCGCCCCTCGAATTGCACCTGAGGGACTCAAAATACACCTGGGACACCCAAAATACACCTGA